GCGCCTCTCTGCCCAGGTCGATCCAGTCAATTGAATCGTAAAACTGAGAGATGTCCAAGAGCCCGTGTCCCTGCGGGACCTGGACGAGGGCAGAGATCTCTTCCTGGAGGGCCCTCTCATAGGCCTCTCTGAGAGCAGAGTTGCCGCGCACTGCCGCACCCCATGGAGCTGAGCACTCCAGGTTCCATTCGCGAACCGTGTCCTCGCGGCACATGGACCACAGGCGTGCGATCTCAGGTAAGAGCCCGATGATGCGGTCGCCGTGGTCCTTCTTGGCCCTCATCACCCCGACCGTGAGCAGAAGTTGATGAGGCCACATCTGTAAACTTTCCATGATATTGAAAATGCTAGCGAGTTCTTCTAAAGCCTCGTCGGGTAGCCGCAGCAGGTCCGTGGGGCTGAGGCGGTCAGCACCTTGGCCTGTGTTGGCCCGTTGCCGACGGAGGGCCCGTCGGACAGCAGCACCGTCGAGGGGTGGAAGCCCACGTTCTCGAACTCGCTGCAAGATCCTGTCGAATAGATCGTCGAGCCCGCTGAGGTCCTGTCCTGCTGGGGCCCATAGCTGGTGCCAACAGGTGACCTTGTGGTCCAGCAGGTCCTTGGGATTAACCAGGGTGGTGGTGCCCACAAGCTTGGATTCAGCCGGCTGGGGTTGAGGCTTGAGCGAGCGGTGCAAGACGCTCAGGGCTGGCGTCGTCACTGCCCACTCCCGAAAATCATGCATAGATTTGCCTAGGGCTCGTCGTTGGGCTCGCTTGGCCAGTAAGCCCGCAGCAGCAGCGTAGTCCACCAGCTCCTCGACAGGGGTGGTGCGGACTGCCTCGAGCATGTTGAGCCATCGGGCCCAAGTGATGCCATCCTTGTCGCGAATGATGGTAGCGGCACCTCCTGGTGCCTCTTGTCGTAGCCGATCCACAGCGTCGTGCAGTTGCCGTAGTTGGAGAGGTCCATTGGCTCGTGCTCGATGCCGATAGATGTGCTGCAAAGTGGTATGAAGCCGCGTCCACCAGGAGCTGCTCGTGTCCCGTAGCGCTGTGGCGCGCTTGGTCTGAGCCTCTCGCACAGTCACGACGCGAAACTCGGGGCCCTGAGCTCTAGTGCTCCCGAGGTGGGCCTGCTGGTGGTGGCCGTAGATGGTGGCCTCCACAGCTGCAATCCAAGAACCGTACAGTCGGCCAGGGTATGTGGAGGTGTCAGGCTTGAGCCAAAATGCTACGGATTGCGCCACAGCAGTGGCAGGGCAGCAGCAGTCGGGGTTCAGCATCCCCGTATGTTCCCGATGGGCACGCCAAAGGTCCAGGGGCACTTCAAATGTCGGCTGCTGTCTGGCAAGGCTACTCTGCTGGCAATCTGGTGAGCCTTCGGCTAAGCTCTGAGACGTCTCCGAATTACTGGCTGGCACGGACTCCGACCCCTGGGAGCAGGTTACTGCGGGGGGGTTCACACGCTGGGCTGAATTGCTGGACGACGTGGCAGGCTCTGTTTTTTTTTCCACCGCTCGCCTCGGACGGGCTGGACGCAGCAGAAGGTGCGGCGACGCGTGAGGCCGCTGCCTGAAAAACCGTCTCGCTGGCCCAGGGATCCTCTTCGTCGGATTCGTATTCGGGCGGGTGAGGGTCGTCGTCAGACGTGTCACCAGCGTGTGTGGAGACACCGTCCTCGGCCTCTTCCTCCCAGAGGTCCCCAAAAACGGCCTGATAGGTTCTGTCCCGAAGCTCCTGACCCTTGGCGGCCTTCTCAGCCCGTTGGGCCTTGGCCTGGCTCGATTTGGACCCAGGGGTCGGGGCTTTCGCGGGCCTGGCTACAGATGGAAGACGGCGAGGAAGCTCTAGGATCCTGGTTAAGAGCTGCTCGCCTGATGAAACGAAATGGGTGTGAAGTGCGATGTGCGGCTTCCACGGAACATCATGCATGGGCTCTACACGCTGAATGTATGACTGTGCCGCATAGCTATGAACGAGGTAGTCCAGATGCGAGGCCTTCTTGCCCCCACCTGGGTCACATGTGTATTCTACGTCGGCGAACTTGATCATTCCTCCGACCTCCGTCAAAAATCCCGAGGCCTGCAGGGTCTGGGGGGGAACGTTCCAATCCCCAAGGACCACCCGCGGGAGCTGGAGGGCTCTGAGGAGGCTACCAAGGCGCCTGGGGCGAACTAAGTTGGGTCCTGTGAGGCCCATGCTACAGATCCCATAGAAAATGATAACTACAAGTGAGTATCCACGGAAGTGCAACGTGCAGGGAACGAACCCGTCGAGGCTGGAGCTAGGGCGGGCTTTCAACGCTGGCGCTTGCACCCCCTCATGGCAGAGATGGGCCTGAAGGTGGCCCCGTGCTAGTAGCCACTCACCTCCCTCGTTGGCGTGCCCTGTCGATTCAGATTCGTGAGAATCATATCTCCCTTCAAGGCTGGTCAACTTCGATGGTCGAGCGGCGTTGTGAAACAACCGAAGATTTTCTGCTCTGGCTTTGGCGGTCCACCTGCCCACATCAGCTGGTCCGACATGCGTCTCTGCGAGGCCGTAGAAGTCGCCGCCCCGCGTCAGAAGATAATCCCACACTTTATCTCCCATGCATGTGATGTTGCTGCAGAGCAGAGTGCTGGTAGCGGGGCCGTCGCTGACCTCGCTGGCGCCCCGAATCTCGGGCGCCTCCGTCTCGTGTCACGCAGCCTTGCTGGCAGCCGAGCCCTTGCTCTGCTGGCCGCCCTTGCCGCTGGTGTCCTTGCTGTCCTTGCCCTCCTTGGTCGCCTTGGCCGCAGCAGCCTGGGCAGCGAACTTGGCGGCCGACAGGCGGGAGGCCTCGGCCTTGAGCTCGCGCTCCTCGGCGGCCGCGGCCGCGGCCGCGTTCGCCGCGGCCTCGCCGGCCTCGCCGTCGGCTGCAGGCGCGCCGCCGCCTTCGTCCTGAGGCTTCTCGGGCGGCGCTGGCTGCTGCTGCGCCGTGGCTGCGGTGCCGTCGGCGCCCTTCCTCTTCTTCTTGAGCCGCTCCTCCTGCTGCTTCCTGACAGTCTGGGCGCGGGTGATCAGCGCCTGTACCTGCGGCTCCTTCGTGTCGAACGCTTTCTTGAGCTCCTCTAGGTCGTGCTGGACCCTCGCCAGCTCCTGCCTCTCGTGCTCCTCGAACTCGAGCTCCTCGAGGCCCTGGAACAGGAGCGGGTCCCACTGCACGGAGAAGACTGGTCCAGTGTTGGGCTCCTTCGTGTGCGAGTCCTTGCCATCAGCTGGAGCCACTCCTTCGGCCTGCGCCAGAGCTGTCGCCGCTTTCTTCTTGACAGCCTCGGCCCTGGCCACTGCGAGCGCCGCCTCAGCCTCTTTCGCCTCGGCGGCGCTGAGGCTCTCCCTGAGCTTCAGCACGTTGGCGACGAGCTGGTTGTGCCTATTCACGGCGGCACGCCAAACCCCGTCGGCCTGCTTCATAGCCTCCACGGTGGTGACCTGCCCCTTGGCCCCCGTCTCCTCGTCCTGGGCGGCGATCCTGGTGATCTGCGCCTGGAGGATCCCCTGGAGCTGCGGGTCGGTCGCCTGTTCTAGTGCGAGCTGGAGATGATCGGTGATGGTCGTCTTCCTCCTCGAAGGGGGAAGGCTGCTCTTCCTGGAGTTCGTGGCTCCTCCAGGGTCCTCCAGCTCGACGATCTCTGTGCCTCCGAAGGTGACCGAGGGCGAACGAGATCGTGCACGATGTAGCCTGACCCGACGCTGGCACTTCGGGCAGGTCGGATGCTTGCTGTCTAGCTTGTGATTGTACTCGCACGTGCCGCAGGCTTTGCAGCGGGTCCACGGGCGATGTCCTGACATGGCTTCAATCCCAACTTTCGTCGTCAAGACCCGAATGCTGTGGGGGCAGACGGGGGTCGAAGTCCCTCAAGCACCGCGAGAAGGTATTGGGATCGGCCCAAGATGACGGCGTGGAGCGCTGGCTCTGCCGTCGGTCTCGAGCCTAGATGGCTTGAGAGGAGGAGGAGGGAGGAGGAGGAGGAGGAGGAGGGGGAGGAGGAGGAGGAGGGGAGGGAGGAGGAGGACGAGGAGGAGGAGGAGGAGGGGGAGGAGAGAGGAAGGAGGGGAGGAGGAGGAGGAGGAGGAGGAGGAGGAGGAGGAGGAGGAGGAGGAGGAGTCAGCAGCAGCATCGGGAGGAGCGGGTGGATCAATCGGAGCAGGTACGATAATTAGAGCAGGAGCAAGAGCAGGTCAAAGAGTAGGACGAGAAGCTGGGTCTGGAGTAGGATTGGGAGTAAACGCAGCATCAGAAATATAAGCCGGAGATAGAGCAGTGGCAGGAGGAATACGAGGATGGCGTATGTAGAGGTTGCAGGGGGGGTGGATGTATTAGTTTCTGTTGTCGAGGAGGTACACGAGGAGAGGGAGGGTGGAGGATGAGGATGAGGATGAGGATGAGGATGAGGATGAGGATGAGGATGAGGATGAGGATGATGATGGTGACGATGATGATGATGATGATGATGATGATGATGATGATGATGATGATGATGATGATGATGCTGATGCTGATGATGATGATGATGATGATGATGATGATGATGATGATGATGATGATGATGACGACGACGACGACGACGATGAGGAGGAGGAGGATGATGAGGAGGAGGAGGAGGAGAAGCAGGAAGAGGATGATGAGGAGGATGAGGAGGAGGAGGAAGAGGAGGGGGAGGATAAGGAGGAGGATGAGGTTGAGGAGGAAAGGGAGGTGCAGAGGAGATGGAGCAAGGTGAGCGGGACAGGGGGGAGGCGGAGGAGGAGGAGGCGGAGGAGGAGGAGGAGGAGGTGTAGGAGGAGGACGAGAGGAGGAGGAGGAGGAGGAGGAGGAGGAGGAGGAGGAGGAGGAGGAGGAGGAGGAGGAGGAGGAGGAGGAGGAGGAGGAGGAGGCGGAGGAGGAGGAGGGGGAGGAGAGCATATCAAAGCGCAGCAGCGTCAGGATGAAGAGGAGGAGGGAGGACGATGAGGGTGAGTAGGAGGATGGGCAAGAGCGCATCCGCTGTCCCACAGGCGATATGCTATTTCATGACTCCGGCCAACAAGGCCAGCCGCGCGCCGCGGACACTTGGAAAGAGAGAGAGAGAGAGAGAGAGCTCGGGTGCGGCAGGCAGAGCCCAGGGCCCCCTCGGGCGCGACCGCAGTCGGCGCAGAGCGGAGCCGACGAGATCAATGGCGACAAGCACGACGACGACGACGACGAGAACGACGAAGACGAATACGACGACGACGACGAGGATGACGACGACGAGGACGACGACGACGACGAGGACGACGAGGACGACGACGACGACGACGACGAGAACGAACATGAGGACGAAGACGAGGAAGAGGACGAGGACGAGGACGAGGACGAGGACGACGACGACGACGCCGACGTCGGCTCGGTGTGTGGCGCAGGGCGCGAGGAGGGCCGTGCGGCACGGTCCGCGCCTCGGGCCTGGGTGTCTCCCGAGGCCGAGCGTGTCCCAGAGCCAGGGGGGGGGGGGACAACGCTTGGAGAGAGCGCTTCGGGGCCGGCTGTCTCCTAAAGCTGGATCGCTGCCGGAACGATCTGCAGCTGAAAACCTCCAAGGAAGCATCCGGGGATCGCCACAGCTGCAGCCGCAAAGCCGCAGCCCAGCCGCAGCCAGCCGCGCCAGGCCACTCGAAAGCATGCCAAGCCGCCACGAAGCACGCCGGGGGGCACGCCACGGGGCGCGCCGTGGGCTCGAGGGCAAAGTTGGGCGTTCCCGCGGGGAGCGCTATGTGGACAGCCAGCTCGTGCGCCTGCTCAGACGCAGTCGCAAGGGGGGCCAGTTCGGAGATCGCCCCTCCTCCTCTCTCCTCCTGTCTCCTCCTTCTCCCCCTTCTCTTCTGCTCCTTCGCATCCTTTCTCGGGCGCCTGCTCTTGCCTCTTCTCTCTCCTCCCGACCTCCCTCTTCTCCTCCGCCTCTCTTTTTCCCCCTCCCTCCCTCTTTCCTCAGCCTCCCGAGGTCTCTATTTTAAGTCGCATCTCCTCACCGGGCGTGCGCGTTAACGAAATCCTCGGCTGTAAACTGGTCCTGGAGCGCTCATCTCGTTTTTTTTTTTTACGTTTTTATGTTCACATCAGCTGCGTCTCTCCGCGTCCTTCCATTCCATTCCTCTTCCTCCTTGCTCGTTTATTCTTCTGCTGCTTTCCCTCCTGAGGTGGAGGACCTCATCCTACTATCCAGTCTTTCTCATCAGACATATACACATACGTATAACATACACGTGTTTGCTCAAGCCATTCTGGTTCAAGGCCGCGGCAGAGTAGTCGCGAGAGTCCCCGCGATCTCGCAGCCACGGGTGGGCTGGGCGTGCAGCACAGGATCATGGGCGGCACAGGCGAAGGCGGCAGCAAGGGAAAGCCGGCGGCACATGGCAAGTCTCAGAGTCCGCCACCAGTGGAGCAGCGCAGCAGCAGTCCGCCGCCGCGCCGCATCCGCGAGAGTTCCCGCGATCTCGCAGCTACGGGTGGGCTGGGCGAGCAGCACAGGGTCATGGGCGGCACAGGCGAAGGCGGCAGCAAGGGGAAGCCGGGAGCAGCGCAGCTAACGATGGCTCGGACCCTCCGGCGCCTGTGGCCGTGGCGCCCGAGAACGTCACCATGCGCCCTCTGCTTCGGCGCCGCGCGCTTTGACATGGACGGTGATGGGGATTTCGACGCAGCGGACGTGCAGGCCATAATGAAAGGCGGGAAGAGGTCTTTAAAGCTCAACTTCTCGCGGCCGGTCACGATCAAAAGGGCGAAGAAGGCGCGCGGGAAGCGGATCGAGGCGAAGAGGGGGCGGAGAGCAGCTGTCGAGGAAGAGGGCGACAGGACGCATCAGGAGATCGTCCGTACGAGCTAGGAGGCGGGCGGTGTCACGGGGACTGTGGCGAACATTTTCGAGCACGGCGCCCACAGCGTAAGGAGGCTGGGTGCGAAGGGCGACGCCGTCATCGACGCTGACGTCGAGGAGGAGGCTCAGGAGGACGATGTCATTGACAACCTAAGGCAGTTCTGGCCCCTGGTTCACCATCATTGAGGTGCTCATGTGCCTCGGCTTCTGGGGCGTGAACGCGTTCAACACGAGGGCCTACTCATTACTGCAGTTCGACACGGTTATCACAGATAACCTTAAATTGACAGAGTACGTCAAAAAGACCCGAACGAGCAGCTGTTCTTGGACGATTGCAAGAAAGAGTGCAGCGCTGCCGACGAGGCGTGAATGGGCATCGGCTGGAAGAGTGGGCCGTGGTCTGAGTGCTTCTTGCTGAGCTCGCTGCCGAACGCAGATCCAAATTATCTGCCCTGCCAGAAAGACGCGTGGGGCTGGCGTATGTACATGAAGAGGACGTGGACCCCCTTCAGCATGTTCTTCATGAAGGGAGGCGTGGAGAGCATCTGGCCCGGGTTCACCACCCTGGACGCCTACAGCTACTGCCATGAGGGCTACGACATCAGCTTCCCGTGGAGGTGGTGGAGCTACCAGTTCACGCATGCCAGCATTACTCACGTGGGCGCCAACTGCTTCATATTGATTATGCTCGGCGTTCCCTTGGAGGGCTGGCAGGGAACAGGCATGTTCGCTGTCATGTGGACCGTCGGCGTTCTCGGCGGTGCCGTCTGCTGGGCGCTCTTCGACCCCTACACCACCTCGCACGGCGCATCTGGAGGATGCTACTCCCTGCTCGGCATGCACGCCGCAGACCTGATTCAGAATTGGGGCGACAAGAACTGGCGCTTTGGGTCGATCTCTGTCATGCTTCTGGTCGCTGGTGTGGAGTCGGCCGCCTTCTGGGCTTCGCGTAACGACGAAAGTTCTACGGCTCACGCTGTGCACGTTGGTGGTCTCGTCGCTGGGCTCCTCATCGGCTTCACGAGCGGCCGCGACGGCCGCTGGAAGATTTGGGTATACGTGTGCTGCGCGATGGCCTGGGCCGTGGCAGGCATCCTCGTCTTCGGGAGCATTTACTTCTGGTTCTTCTTCGACGAGCACCCCGGCATCGGCAGCTCGTGGAAGCCGCTTCTTGGCAAGACTATGGAGCGCCCCTTTTGCTGGATCACTCCCGCAGGAGCTGAGGCGCCTCGAGTTCAGCTTGGTCTTCAGCCGCCGGGTTCTCCAGGCGGATTTCTGGACCCGCTGCGGCCGAGCACCCTCCTCGAGGCCCCCGGCTCCGAGGCCCCCAGCGCGCGCCACACACCGCGTGTGGAGGAGGACTATCGCGTCAGCCACCTCTAACCCCAGCAGCGTGATATTCTGCACCTCTTCGGGCACAGTAGCACTTCAGAATAGGCTCCTTGCCCACTGGTTTTTATTTGTAACAGATGGGCATTAGGCACACTTGGTTGTCGCATGAGCTTTTGCGGCGGTGCTGACAGTGAGGCAAAATCGTATCAGCATCCGCCGGATTGAATCAGCACCTCCTGGCGACTTTTGAAGGCGGTGAGCTTCCGCTCCATGGAATTGCCTTAGATGCCTTCCACCTGCGACGGCAAAGATCTTGCTTCCGTGCTCTCTTCCTGATAACCGTTCGCCCTCCTCTGCGCCCTGTTCTAGTCCATGCGCTTCCTGCCTTGTTGTCTCTTGCAAACCGTCTTCCATTGCAAGATGCCCTGGCACTGTAGCGAGAAATCGCGCCTTTACCCACTGCGAAGCCCCTCGTCGCAAGGCCAGAATGTCCGCCTCTGCGACCTGGCCAGCCAGACCGGGCCAGCAGCCAGGTCGACAGGCAGGTGTCAGGGGCCACAGTCAGGCACGCATGGGCCGTAGGCAGGCATGGGCAAGTATGGGCCATAGGCAGGCAGGGCGGCTTGCACGACCTGCAGGCCTTCCATGTTTTTACCTAACAGCGAAGACTGATAGGTTTCTAGTAGGGTCAAAAGAGATGCCGTTTTTTTTTTAGCCAGCAGTTACACACTTCGTGGTCTTCGAGGTCCCAGAACTCCATTCCCGGGCCACATTCTGAATGCCTGGAGCCAACTGTAGGCCACTTCGTGGTCTTCGAGTTCCCAGAACTCCATTCCCGGGCCACATTTTGAATGCTGAGGCAGGCTGCAGGCTGAGGCTGAGGCAGGCTGAGGCTGAGGCCGAGGCTAAAGGCAGACTGAGGCTGAGGCTGAAGCAGGCTGAGGCTGAGGCTGAGGCAGGCTGAGGCTGAGGCTGAGGCAGGCTGATGCTGAGGCAGGCTGAGGCTGAGGCTGAGGCTGATGCAGGCTGAGGCTGAGGCAGGCTGAGGCTGAGGCCGAGGCTGAAGGCAGACTGAGGCTGAGGCTGAAGCAGGCTGAGGCTGAGGCTGAGGCAGGCTGAGGCTGAGGCAGGCTGAGGCTGAGGCTGAGGCTGATGCAGGGTGAGGCTGCAGGCTGAGGCTGAGGCCGAGGCTGAAGGCAGACTGAGGCTGAGGCTGAAGCAGGCTGAGGCTGAGGCTGAGGCAGGCTGAGGCTGAGGCTGAGGCAGGCTGGCTGAGGCAGGCTGAGGCTGAGGCTGAGGCTGATGCAGGCTGAGGCTGAGGCAGGCGGAGGCTGAGGCCGAGGCTGAAGGCAGACTGAGGCTGAGGCTGGCAGGCTGAGGCTGAGGCTGAGGCAGGCTGAGGCAGGCTGATGCTGAGGCAGGCTGAGGCTGAGGCTGAGGCTGATGCAGGCTGAGGCTGAGGCAGGCTGAGGCTGAGGCCGAGGCTGAAGGCAGACTGAGGCTGAGGCTGAGCAGGCTGAGGCTGAGGCAGGGAGGCTGAGGCTGAGGCAGGCTGATGCTGAGGCAGGCTGAGGCTGAGGCTGAGGCTGATGCAGGCTGAGGCTGAGGCAGGCTGAGGCTGAGGCCGAGGCTGAAGGCAGACTGAGGCTGAGGCTGAAGCAGGCTGAGGCTGAGGCTGAGGCTGAGGCAGGCTGAGGCTGAGGCTGAGGCAGGCTGATGCTGAGGCAGGCTGAGGCTGAGGCTGAGGCTGATGCAGGCTGAGGCTGAGGCAGGCTGAGGCTGAGGCCGAGGCTGAAGGCAGACTGAGGCTGAGGCTGAAGCAGGCTGAGGCTGAGGCTGAGGCAGGCTGAGGCTGAGGCTGAGGCAGGCTGATGCTGAGCAGGCTGAGGCTGAGGCTGAGGCTGGCTGAGGCTGAGGCTGAGGCAGGCTGAGGCTGAGGCAGGCTGAGGCTGAGGCTGAGGCTGAGGCAGGCTGAGGCTGAGGCTGAGGCAGGCTGAGGCTGAGGCTGTGACTGCGACTGCCGTTGCCACTGCGACTGTCATCGCGAATGCGACTACGACTGCGAGAACAGCAGAATTCTACAACAGGATTCTCATCTGAATCTACAGGGGAATGCTTCCAGATATGATCCTACACATCGCTGTTAGGTTGCTTTGCCGGGATAATTGTTTCTTATGTTGCATCACTGCTGTGAGCACACAGAGTTGTTTCGTAGGACTGCACAGCCTTGGGCGATGGATTGTTACAACCTTGGGTCGCAGATGATCATGCATTCGCAGGAACGTTGCCCATAGGAACATCATGGAACAACAAAAACGCCCAACGAGGCCCTTAAGATGCCGCCCAAGAGCACCCCGAGAGGGCAAAGTCGTTGATGTTCATTGGTTATTTCCATGTTTTTCGCATTCTCGCTGTTTCGTGTTTCGGGCGCTAAAGCACTGCCCAAGAGGCTCCCCAAACCGCTCCAAGACGGCCGAAGAGGCCCCCCCAAGGGCCCCAAGACGGGGCCCAAGAGAGCCCCGAGACGGCCCTAGAGCCGTCCAAGACGGCGCAAGAGGGTTCCAAGATGGCCCCAAGAGGGGCCCAAGAGAGGGAACGCGAACTGACAAATCAAGCTCTCCGCCCCAAGAGGCCCCAAGAGGCCCCCAGGAAGCCCCCAAGAGGCCCCAAGAGGCCTCCAAGATGCTCCAAGAGGCCCCCAAGAAACACAAAAGAGGCTCCAAGATGCCTCAAGACGGCACCCAAAAAGCTTCAACATTCTTTCTAAGAGGCCTCCGAAGGCATGCCAAGACGGTCCCATGACTTCAAGAAGCAGTCCATGATGCTCCGAGGAGGCCCCAAGAGGCCCCTAAGAGAGCCCAAGAGGCCCCCCAGGGGCCCCCAAGCGGCCTCAAGCAGCATCCAGGAGGCCGGAAAGAGGCCCCCAAGAGCCCAGCGGTCCAGGCGGGGGCCGAACGAACATTCCCAGCCCTGGGCTCCCAGAAGCCCAACTGGAAGCCCCACGTAACTCGCAAGACCCCCCCCCCGACGCTCACGAGACGCCCAAAAGCAGATGTCTAGAGTTGCCCAACATTGTCGGCTTCCGCTCAGCGTAGTATAAGCAGTTTTGGGAAGCATCGTGACCTGGTCAGTGATCCAGTGTCGCTGCTGGGCATAGCCGCGACCGCGTTTGGTAAAACGGGGCCCCACGGGAAACTTTGCGCGCGAATCTTCCAGTCAGTAAGTGTTCTCGGGCATGTTTTCGATGTGCGCATGGCCGAATCTGTGAATACTTCTGAGGGCCCTCTCGGAGCCGTCTTGGAGCCTTCTCGGCTCTCTCGCGACGTGACATGGGCTCCCCGAGGTGCCTTTCTTTGCCCTGGGTAATTCTGGAGTGTCCCGGGCCTCAGGCCGAGGCCGTGGAAAGATTGGCCGTTACGGTTTCTTCTCGCAGTTGGCGGCCTGTGGACTCGTTCTGCAACGCGCCCAGGGCATGGCGGCCGTGTGCAGGTCGCGGCCGTGCACGTTGGAAGCAGCCGTGATGCAGGGGCCGTAGACACGCTAACGGCGATGTAGGTAACGGCGATGTAGGTTTCGGTATTGCAGGTGGGGGTGATTCGTGGCCAGCCCGATTCGCAGGAAGGCGCTCTTCGCGTCTTCCTGCAGTCTGTTCTGTGCGAGTTCGGCGTCGCAGAAACCGGATTCCCAACATCGCCGTTAGTTCGACCACCATCGTCGTCAGCGTGGCTTTGGAGGGGTGTTGAGCTGCGCGCCCACCGACCACGGCGTCGTGGGAGGCCTCTACCCTCCGCGCGGGCTTCTCAGAGGCATAGCCGCAGAGGATCTCTCGGCTGCGGCCAAGCTTCGAAGGGCCTCCACCGCAGGCTCAAAAGACGCTGGGGTGCGCTCGAGCCTTTTCCCTCACTGGAGTCTCTTCGGCAGAAAAAAACAGACGGCACCGCCCCACCCGCGCGGCCCTCCACCGTTGCGCCACACGCCCAGTGGGGCGCCGCAGCGTACACCACCGAGAAAGCCCCAGCCGCCACTCCTCGGGCGAAGAGAGCTGTGCACATGCACCGATCCTGACAAGCCCATCCTTGACCCAGGGTCGGTGCATATACCTTCCTGGCCAAGGTAAGAGGGCGTATGCACCGATCCTGGGCTCAGGATGGTCCTGGCCAGAATCGGTGTATGTGCATAGTTCTCTTTCTTCTAGCTCCCTCGCCTCCCAGCGGTCTTCAGGAGAGTCAGCGGTTGGTCGGGGGCCGCGGCCGCCGCCAGCCGGGAGGGCAGCACACGCCGAGGGGATCTGCCCGTCTGGCGGCGGCGCGCTCTGCCGCAGACTCTCCGCCGCCCGGGGTCCTCCGGCCGGCGCGCCGGCTGCTTCGCGAGGGCCCGGGCGGCGGGCGAGCGAGGCAGGGCGCTCGGGCCGCCCGCGCGCTGCCTCGGCCCAGAGGGTCTTCCAGGCCGCCTCTCGGGTGCTGCGGGTGCTGCCAGAGGTGTGGCCTTGGCCGAAGAGGTCAGGGCGGCCCCCTGGCGGCCTCCAGATCACCCTATAGTGCGGCTCGGAGGGCGCCCGGGGGCCTCTGGCACCGACCAGTTCCTCGACAGTTGTACCGACAGATGCGCCGACGACGACGACGTCCTGCGACGACGACGACGACGACGACGACGACGACGACGACGACGACGACGACGACGACGACGACGACGACGACGACGACGACGACGACGACGACGACGACGACGACGACGACGACGACGACGTCCGACGACGTCCGACGACGAAAAAGAAAATGACCGCGAGGGCCAGGTGGAAGTCGACACACTTACGACGTCGGAGGTCTGGACACAAGGCACAGATTTCCCCCTAGAAGTTCGAACCTTAACGAGATTCAGACCTTGGTTTCGGCATGCGGAGGCCGAAACTGCGCACAAAGCTTTCAGGACTGAGCCACACCTCAGGACGGACCACGAGCGCCGCGGCTTCTCCCTTTACTGCGCCTTCCCTGCCTCCTGCCCCTTGCTCCCTTTCTCTCTCCGCTTTTCTGGTTCCGGCTTAGACACGCCCAAGGACACCCGGGGAGGAGCACGAAAATGAGGAGGAGGATGAGGAAGAGGTGTGGCTGCGTTCGAAGAGACTTTTAGCCATCAGGAACCAGAAACCAGGAGGAAGAGGAGGTGGACGACCCTTACAATGCCCGTAACGACGATGACAACGACGACGAGGAGGACGGCGATGATGGTGACGACGACTATGACGATGGCGATGCGGATCTGATAATGAGTATGATGATGGTGACTTTCTCACCCCAGGCCTCCAGGCGCCGCTCTTTGTTAACAATTTCGGCCTCCAGGACCGTTTCCGAGCCCTGGGGCCACCAACAGAGACGCGCGACGAAGACAGGCCCAGGGATGAGGTCCGAGAGGTCGCGAGAGAACTTGACGTTGGAGGTTAGCAGGCGCTGGTCTCGTCTCGTCTCGTTTCGTTTCGTTTCGTTTTGTCTCGCTTCTTTTCCCCTCGTGCGAACTCGTGTGCCTCGGATACATACATCGGCCCTGGCCGTGGCAGAAAGGACCTGTCTCCACGGTGTTGATAATTTTGGCGCGAGCCAGTGTGAAGCGTCCGGTGGCCGCACTCTCGCTGTCTACCGCCCCAGCTGCTGCTAGCCTTGGCCAAGTATCATCGCGTTCAGCCAGAAATTGGGCCCCCATTGCCGATTCAGTAAGGCACGCGCAGACCCGACATGATGCCTTCCTTTGTGTCATGAGGGGCGGATGACCTAGGCCCCCGGCCGATTGAACTTTGGATCTGTAGGCCTTGGAGTTCTCGATCCCTTGCCCCGGGGTCGGTGCTTCATCCCAGGTGGGGTTTGGTGGGTCTTTTGGCCGAAACAGCCAGGCCAGAGCAGTATAGGATTAGCTCAGGGACTTAGCACATGAATCTGCTGGAGGCTTGTTGAGCTATCCGCTTCATCAGGTCTTGACCAGGGAGGTTGGCTTCAAGAACTTCGTATTATTCATGCTGTTTGGAACGCTGGTATCCCGACTCGTTATTTGAGCCAGCCGCCTGCCGACAGTCTGGTCCTGGTCTGCCTTCTCCACATCTTTTCGTTCGCATCCTCTTTCTAATCCGATCTCCACCACAGGTTCATTATGTTGTTTATGTTCCCCATCTTTCTATGTTTTTGTGTTCTTTCTCGATGTATATGTATGTCTGTCTGTCTGTCTGTCTGTCTGTCTGTCTGTCTGTCTGTCTGTCTATCTGTCTGTCTGTATGGTTGTATGGTTGTATGTATGTATGTATGTATATATGTGTGCATACGTGTGTGTATATACATGTATGTATGTATGCATGCATGCATGCATGCACGCACGCATGCATGCATGTATGTATGTATGTATGTATGCATGTATACATGCATGTATGTATGCATGCATGTATGCATGTATGTAATGTAATGTATTGTAATGTATTGTATTGTAATGTAATGTAATGTAATGTAATGCAACATATTGTAATGTAAGGTAAAGTAATGATATATAAGGTAAAGGTAAGGTAAGGTAAGGTAATGTAAGGTAATGTAAGTTAATGTAGTGTATGTGTGCATGTATGTATGTATGTATGTATGCATGCATGTATGTATGCATGCATGCATGGATGGATGTATGTATGCATGTATGTATGTATGTATGTATGTATGTATGTATGTATGTATGTATGCATGCATGTATGTATGTATGTATGTATGTATGTATGCACGTCTGTATGTATTCATGCATTATGTATGTATGTTTGTATGTATGTATGTGCGTGCGAATGTATATATATATACATATATAGATATGTCTGT